AAAAAAAAAAAGACCCTGTCTCAATCAACTGGTCAATCAATCAATAAAATTACATTGGCATAGTGGAAAAGCTTCTCAGGAGACTGAGGTAAGAGGATTCCTTGAGCACAGGAATTTGAGATTACAGTGAGCTATGATTGTACCATGGTACTCCAGCCTGGGTGACAGAACAAGACTCTGCCTCTAAGGGGAAAAAATAAAAATCACGACTAGACAACAGGAATTACTGCAAATCAAAGAAACTGGTCTACATTAAATCGACCTACTTACGACAGTACTTTAATTATAAATCCATTTAATAACAAATTATAAAGTTAACTATAAACATGCAATATCCATTAATAAAACAGGTTAAGTTCTTAAATTTTAGATAAAAGACAAAATTATTCCAGTGCATTCCATAAGCAATTTCAACTGAAATATTCTTCTCATTAATATCTGGAATTTATCCTTTTCAATCTTTGCATGAATAAAAATACAAAATTACGTACCTGGCGATCAAGGTCAACATAGGCATCATTTCCAGCAGAAACAGGAGATTCTTTACTCATTAGCTGAAAATAAGATTTAAATGATTATAATTAGGAGGCAAAAAAGGCATTCTATATACAACAAAATCAACAGCCAACTACTAGGGAAATATAAAAATGGAAATGACAACAGAAACGTAAAAAGAATATTACCCTACACGTTAAAGCCTTTGAATTTAGATCTTTTTTTTTCCACTTCAGGATAAAATTAAAGGTCTAAAATCTCACGTGTTCTCACTCACATGTGGGAACTAAATATTAAAAACAATTCATCTCGGGTCAGAGCCTGTAGCTCAAGCGGCTAAGGCACCAGCCACATACACCAGGGCTGGCGGGTTCGAACCTAGCCTGGACTCGCCAAACAATGACAACTACAACCAAAAAAAAAGGTCGGGCGTTGTGGCGGGCACCTGTAATCCCAGCTACTTGGGAGGCTGAGGCAAGAGAATCGCTTAAGCACAGGAGTTGGAGGTTGCTGTGAGCCCTGTGACACCATGGCACTCTACCCAGGGAAACAGCTTAAGGCTCTGTCTCAAAAAAAAAAAAAGGCCAATTAAGCACATGGAAAGATGCCCCACACCATTAATCACTAGGGAAACACAAACCCAAACCACAGTGAGATAGATCCCAAACCACACTGGATAACTATTTAAAAGGATGGATAACAGCGAGGCTAGGGAGAACATGGAGAAGTTAGAAGCCTTCTGCACAGCTGGGGGAATGTGAAACGGTGCAGGTGCTGTGGGTGACAGGGTGGCCGTTCCTCAGAAAGTTAGAGATATGTGGTGTATGGGCACCATGAAGCCCTATGTCACAAATGGTGCTGGGAGAACTGCTTAGCCACCTGTAGAAGACTGAAATTGGACCCACACCTCCTACTACTAACAAAAATTGATTCTTACTGGATTAAAAGATTTAAATTTAAGACATAAAACTATAGATAACCAGGAGATAGTGCAGGAAAAATGCTCAAAGGTATTGGCTCGAGGAAATGTTTTACGAGGAAGACCCACTCCGGCAATTGCAGCAACACCAAAAATAAATTACTGGGATTTGATCAAGCCAAAAGCTTCTGCACAGCTAGGGGCACTACGACACACAGGCTTTGGAGTGGAAGAAGATGTTTACATCTTGTGGATCTGACAAAGGTCTGATACTAGAATCTACAGAGAACTCAAATTACTCAATAAAAAAGGAGAAAAAAACCCATTTCTTTGCGGGAAAGAGACTTGAAGAGAAACTTCTCTGAAGATAATAGATGAATGGCCAATAAGCACGTGAAAAAATGCCCATTTTTAACCATCAGAGAAATGCAAATCAAAACCACTTTGAGATACCATCTAACTCCAGTAAGATTAGACCACATCACAAAGTCCCAAAAGTGCAGACGCTGGCATGGATGTGGAGAGAGGGAAACTTCCATACTGCTGGTGGGATTGCAAACTAATACAGCCTTTTGGGTAAGAAGTATGGAGAATCTTCAAAGAACTAAAAGTTAACATTCCATTTGATCCTGCAATTCCATTACTAGGGTATCTACCCAGAAGAACAAAAATCATTTTACCACAAAGACATCTGCACCAGAATGTTTCCTGCAGCCCAATTCATAACTGCTAAGTTGTGGAAGCAACTGAAACATCCATCAACCCATGAATGGATTAACAAATTATGGTATATGTATACCATGGACTCCTATCCAGCCATAAGAAAAGATGGAGACTTTACATCTTTTGTGTTTACCTGGATGGGGCTAGAACACATTCTTCTTAGGACAGTATCTCAAGAATCAAAAAAAAACAAAGTATCCAAAAATTTGATGATTTCCTTCTTAATCTCATCTTTGAACCAGTTACCATTCAACCTAAGGTTATTTCATTTCCATGACTTTGTTTGAGTATAAAGTTTCCTGTTACTGTTGAGTTCAACTTTTATTCCACGATGGTCAGAAAAAATACGAGGAATAATTTCTATTCATTTAAATTGTTGAGGTTAGGCTTGTGTCCCAAGATATGATCAAATTTGGAGGCTAATCCGTGGACTGATGAGAAGAATGTGCATTCAGTTTTATTGGGATGAAATATTCTATATATATCTGTTAAGTCCATTTGTTCTAAGATCAAGTTTTAGTCCACTATTTCTTTTTTTTAGTTTCTTCTTTCTGGAGGATCTATCTAGAACCACCAAAGGTATGCTAAAATCTTCAACTATTATAGTGCAGGAAGCTATAATATTGGTCAGGTCCATTGGGGTTCGTTGTATAAATCAAGGAGCATTCAGGTAGGGCAAATAAATATTAATTATTGAAATCTCTTCATGAACAGTGTTTCCCTTGACAAATATGTAGTGTCCATCCTTATCTTTCCTTATTTTTGTTGGATCCAAATCTAAGTGTATCTGCAAGTAAGATTGCAACCCCTGCTTGTGTCTGATTTCCACTTGCCTGGATTACTGTTGTCCATCCCTTCACCCTGAGTCTTGTTTTATCCTCTGAGGTAAGGTATGTCTCTTGAGGTAACAGAGATCTGGCCTGAGTTTTTGTATCCAGTCAGCAAGCCTATGCTCTTTAGAGGAGAATTTAAGCCATTCACATTAATAGAGAGAATTGATAGCTATGGTATTGTTTTGGCCATCTTGTTTTTTCAAAGGTTCAGTGCATATTTTTAACCCTTTCACCATTGTGGAAACTAGGTTTGATTCTTTAAATTTTGAGTGAGTTTACTTTGGTAGTAGACCATCATGCTGGTCATTATGAAAAATGGGTCTGAGTATTTCGTAGAGAGCTGTTCTAGTTATGGCAAATTTCTTTAACACATGGATGTCAGTAAAGTCTTTGATTCTCCATCACAAACGAAACTCAGTTTAGCTGGATCCTGGGCTGAAAGTTGTTTTGTTTTAGATGGTTGAAGGTTGATGACTATGTCCTTCTGGCTTGAAAAGTTTCAACTGAAAGATCTGCAGTCATCCTGATATTTTTCCCTTTATAGGTAAAAATTTTATTATGCCTGGCTGCTTTTAGGATTTTATCCTTCATACTAACTTTGGCAAAGTTAATTATGATGTGTCTAGGAGATGCTTTATGTGGACTGAGTTGTGCTGGAGTTCTGAAGCTATCTACTATCTGAATTTCTGTATCTCTTGCAATACTTGAGAAATTTTCCACCATTAATGTCTTGGAGTAGAACCTCTGTGCCTTTAGGACCATCCTCTTCTCCTTTAGGAATCCCTATACTTTGGATGTTTGAGCTTTTGGAGTGGTCCCACAATTCTCTCAGGGAATATTCTATTCTTGTTCTCCTTTTTTCTGCCTCCTTGAATGCTTGGAACAGTTCAAAACTTGTCTTCAATTTCTGAGATCCTTTCTTCTGCTCAACTCTATAACTGAGGGACTCTATTGTAGTTCAAGGTTCTTTGAATGCCTTTCTCAATTCCTTAAGCTCTGATATATCTGTATTCATTATGTCCATATCCTTAGTGACTTCGTCTTTGAATTCATTAATTTCTTGAGACAACTTTTGAACTACTTTTTGGATTTCTATTTCCATCTTTTCCTCTACTTTATTCATTTATTTGCCATCCACATTCCGGATTCTGTTTCTCACATTTCAGCAAGTTCTCTATAGATGGTGTTTTCTGTTGTATCTCCTTTGTCAGCCCTTCAGGGAGTTGATCTACTCTGATTTTTCATGTTGCCAGAGTTCTTCCTCTGGTTCCTCCCCGTGAGTATTTTCTGCCATTTGGCAAGTAAAACTGGTTAGGTGGAACTGGATTGGGGCCCCAGGAACTGGAGCTAAGCAGCCCTTCACCAATGAGCTGGGGGTTGTGACTGTGGCTTTTCCCCTACAGCCCTGCAAAGGTCCCTCTCAGAGCTGCAGCCAGAGACTCTGAGGACCTGCTCGGTGAGATAACACAAGCTCTGTCTTGATGTCGCCTGCCTCTACCCAAACCTAATGAACACACTATTACGCTGGAATCTCAGCTGGGGAAAGATACAAACACCTGCAGTGGCCTGTTGCCCCCCAGCAACTGCTGGAGGAGGAGAATCTCTCTCTCTACTGTTTTGTAAAACCACCACCACGCAACCTTGGTGGGTCCCTGGGTTGAAAGACCAGGGCTGACAGCTCAGGTTGAAAGATTCAATCAGACTGTCCCCCAGTGGTACAAACATCACTCACCTGAAAGGGCTCAAAGGGTCACCAAGTGGCCAAAAAGCAGAAATCTGCAGGCAGATCCAGCTGTGCAATCCTAGGGGCTGGACCAGGGTCCCCTCCGGTGGGAATGGGAGTCAGGAAAGATCCCCACCAAAGTCAGTACTGAGGCATTACTGCCTTCCCTGACCGCCACTAATTCAACCCCTGCCACTGACCCAGCAGGTGCCACCATCTTTGTCCGCATGGCTCTCTCCCTGTGCCCCCTGCTTCCACACATGCCACTGATTCTGCACTGCTGTTTGGCGACCTACACAATGCCTAGGCCTCTCAGTGAATTCCCCAAACACTCCAGGTTCTGCAGGGGACAGACCTTTAGGCAGCCAGGATGGGGGGAAGGGTGAACTGTGTGTTCAGAATTGCAGAGAAAATATTTGTTCACATTTGTGCCAGGCAGGCTGACACCTGGGCTCAGAGGTGCGACCTCCCTGGAGAAGGAGGACTGGGGTTTAGTGGCTCTCTCCCGTAGGGTACTGTGAGAGGTCCTTTGCTCCCTGCTCATGTACAGAGAGGTCCTTTGCTCCCTCTGCATGCCTCCCGCTTGGGTGAGGAGGCTTCCATCCTCTTGGCAATGGGTATCACAGTGGTTGTTGTTGTCTTCTTCCTCTTTCCTGGATGCATCGTGTCTTAGCAGAGATGATGTGCACCTGTCTATCTTTTTCCCACACTCAGCGTCAGTTAGTCCACTTCTGTCCAGAATCTCTTCTTCCAGACTGAAGCCTCTGGCAAAAGCTGCTTCTACTCGGCCAGCTTGACTCCTCTCTCCTCCTTTTTCTCCACAATCGATTTTAAAAATCAAATTGGGATTCTATTGTACGTACAATTTTATCTCTTGTTCTATTCACTTGATATTTTGAATTTTTCCTCTGTCACAGACATCATTTTTATACACAGTTTTATCAACTATGCAATATTTCATTGGATGGAACTACTATAATTTACACCCTGGCTTACCAATGGACATAACTGTTTTCTCATTTCTGTTAATACGAAATTGTTCAATAAACACTGCTGTGTCCAATAGTGGTCTGAAGTTTTCAGTAAGTCCTTGGGATAGATTTACAGAATAAAAATCACTTGATCACAGATTTTAATTTAGAAAATATTCCTGGCGGGGTGTGGTAGCTTACACCTGTAATCCTAACATTCTAGGAGGCCAAGGAGGGTGGATCGCCTGAGCTCGATGGGTTCAAGACTAGCCTAAGCAGAGAAAAACCCTGTCTCTAAAAAAAAAAAAAAAAATAGGTGGGCGTCGTGACAGGCCCGTTGTCCCAGTTACGTGGGAGGCTGAGGCAAGAGAATTGCTTGAGCCCAAGAGTTTGAGGTTGCTGTGAGCATGGCACTCTACCAAGGGCCACAAAGTGAGACTCTGTCTCAAAAAAGAAAAAAGAAAGAAAGAAAAGAAGAGAAAATTTTCCTGGTTATAGATAAAACATGTGTGATTATAGATAAATTGGAAAATACAGAAGCGTAAAGAACATTCAACTATTTGGACAAAGTTAACATTTTAACAAGTTTCTGTTTCTATTCGTCTTAATTTTAAACACAAATGAGACTGTACTGTGCTATGGACTATGCTCTGGATCTCACCTTTTAAAAACTTACTATAAGCTTTCCTTTATGTCATCGCACATTTTCAAAAATATGGTTCAATGCCTATATATTAAATATGCTGACACATTATTAGACCATAACTTATTCTACCCATTCCCCTTTTGCTCTGAAGTTACTGCTGATTTTCAGAGCCAGGAAATACTGAAGCAAACTCTCTGAAGGTGACACAGCACAGCAGACACGGGTTTGGGCTCTGGAGTGTAGACTGTTTAGATCCGAGTTCTAACTCTGTCACTGCTCCCTGTGGGAACTTGAGCAAGTGACTCAAACTCTGTAGCCTTGGTTCTCTTTTATAAAATGGGGACAACAACAATACATACTTCACAGGAGTTTAGTAAAGTTTTTTCATTTTCTTATTGTGGTAAAATATACGTAACAAAACTTGCATTTTAACCATTTTAAGTATAAATTCAGTGCATTAATTACAATTACAGCAGATTTTCAGTGATCATGTCAACTGTTCAGTAACACCACAATCCGGCATAAAGTACAGCATAAACACTTGTTATTACATAGTTCACATTTCCTTATGATAAGCTTCTAACCGTGGATTTATAGAAGCATTTACAGTAAGGCAGGACTGTACCAGTTCTCGTATTTTTCCCCCTGTTCTTGCTTAGTAACAGCATCCTCAGATTTTGGCAGGGTCCCCAAACACCTGGAATAGGGACTTCATTTCCCAGTCTCACAGGGTGCCCGTGTTGAGTAAGGTCTGGCTAATGTGAGTGACAATGCCTGCAGAATTCTTAAGAAGTAGATAACCCTTCCTCCAGTCCTTCCTGCTGGCTGGAAATGTTGATGTGACATCTAAAGGACAAGCCACAGATGAGCCACCAGTGGAAGTGGCCCACTAAGAACGGCACAGCAAAAGGACAGAGGAAAGTGGGTTCCTGACACTCACAGGGCCTCCACACCCACCCAGGACCTCTTAGGAGCAAATTAAACGTTAAGTCTTCCTTGGGTAACTTGTAATTTTGGCATTTTAACACTCATAACCAAACCTAATCTTACACGACATAAAAGGGCACAGTGTCTTTAAAAGATACAGCCATTTACATTCCTACTGTCACTGCTGACAGCCAAATGAATCAACTCTTAAAAAGCTTTGTTTCCTGAGAGGTCCTGTGTAATAAGGAATTTAGCTGGCCTTTGTCTCCAGCTTCTGGGAGGTTGTCTCTGTATCTTTGGATTTCCCTGGTGACAGGAGTGTCTTTGTTACTCATGGTGGAGATGACCCCAGATGAAGGCCGGGCATGGCAGAAAGATGAACCATGTGAGTACAAGGTTAGGGCTGTGAGCTGCTTGCTTACTGGCCTGACCTGCAGGGAGCCTGGGGGCTGGAAACTGATTTCGACATCACAACCAATCAATTATACCTCCAGCTTGAAACCCCAGTAAAGACTATAAACACTCAGGTGAGCCTCCCTGGTTGGCAGTACTCTGAGTACTGCTACATGCTGAGGGGCCGGGAGGGAGAAAATCTGACTCCATGAGATACGAACCACAGAAACTTTACAATGGGCCCCTTCTTGACCTCATCTTACGTACTGTTTGGTTTAACAAAAACTTAATTCAGAAATCCACTCAATGTGATTCGTACCCCACTCACTGTAATAAAAGTGCTATCATTTGCGACTTCTGTCTATCATTGTAGCTAATGGTAGAACTTGAGAGGGTACTGAGAACCTTGAATTTGCAGTGAGAGGGTCAGATGTGCGTGAGAACGGCCTAGGGCTGGTCTCTGAAGCGAGGAGACTGTGCCCCTAACCTGTGAGGTTTGGCCTAACTTTGGGTAGTGTCGGAAGTCACTGCAGAAAGATTTTTTTTTTAAATACAACTTTATCTTAATTGGCATTTAGCATTTTTCATGTTGGTTCTTTGTAACTTTTCTGTGTTACTTGCATATTCATATACTACACAGTGTTTTACTTCTCTTAAGAATTTTTTCCATTGTTTTTATGATTAAAAATATTTTTATATCCTGCAATTGACCAGTTATTAGTTTTGGGTATGGAGTGAAGACCCATTTTCTGCCAAATAGGAAACAGTTAAATGTAAGAAAGATTGCTTATTTACTAATAGTTTTGGGATTTAGTCTACTATTCCTGCTTCACTAAGGGCACTTTCCAAAATTAGGAATAGTTGTACCTATATCTGCAAAATGAATGCTCAAGTTTTAACTAAAAATGAGAAATTTAAATGAGTATGATTTTAAACAAATATAAATAAGATAAGCTATATCATACGAATATAAATTTTAAAATGCTCCAAAAATGAGGAGAATCTCTTTTTAAAATGTCCACTTCTATTATTTATACTCGTGTTTGCTGCTTAAATTTTTCACAAACTGCAAGCGCAAAGCTCCAACGTACCTCTTGAATGGCTGTCATGACAACGTGCTGGACAGACTCCTCCATCATCATAATGGCTTGGATGTACTCTGAAAACAAGAACAAGCTGGAATGTCACTGTTCAAGTTAACAACAGTCAAGGGACTAAAGGCTAACACGTCACCAATTCTCCTGAGCAGCTTGCTACATTCTAATTCCTCCTAGGAATCTCTCGGGCATGGTTAAAGGTAAAGGCTGAAAATCACGTTATCAATCTTTCCCTCATTCGTTTCTCCTTTCTCTATTCCTTAGAAGGGTTCAAGGCTACAGGTCACAGGAATGCAGTTTTAGCCTAAGTGTGAGCCAGTGTAAAACTATGAAATGGTAAAGCTAGGATGGAAAGACTATTACTTTTTTCTAAAATCTAAAAATCTTTCACATTATTCTTTGCTATATGGTAAAAAAAAAGAAAACTCTCAAGTCTGTGTTTTATTCTTACATGACATCAAAGCACTGAATTACATAATTCCTACCTTAATATTTTCTACTATAAAAAAGAAAAAACTCAATGAAGCTGAGAGCTGCTTAGGACAAAGAATTAAGATGAATTTAAGATAAACTGATACCATAGTTAAACAAAGATTATAAAACCCTGACTTGAAAATAATGACCCAAGGCCAGGCATGGTGGTTCACACCTACCGTGCTAGCACTCTGGAAGGCTGAGGCAGGTGGGCTGCCTGAGCTCTGGAGTTCAAGACTAGCCTAAGCAAGAGCAAGACCCCATCTCTAAAAAGTAGCTAGGCATTGTGGTGGGCACCTATAGTCATGGCTACTTGGGAGGCTAAGGCAAGAGGACCACTTGAGCCCAAGAGTTTGGGGTTGTTGTGAGCTGTGGTGGCACTCTATGGAGGGTGACAAAGTGAGACTCTGTCTCAAAACCCCTCCCCCCCAAAAAATGACTCATATGCGTAATAAGCTAAGGCAGTAACTTTATTAATCTCACTCTTACCATGCCAAAAAAGAGAAAGATCTCATTACTATTAACAGTGACAAAATTAAAAGTGATTTCTTGTCTTCTAAAAATGTCCTGGAAAAAATTTTCATTATTTCTGAATCTAACAATGTGTGGTAAAAGTGGCATTAAATATTAAAAAAAAAAAAAAATCAACAGGCCAGGCAGATTTCAACAAAAGAAGTAAATATACTTTAATAAGAAATACGTAAAAGGGTGATGGAATTAAGAAATTTTAGCCTCAGCCTGCCTCTCCCATCCCATGTATCCAAACATATGCAAAAAAACTTCTCATTCGGGCGGCGCCCGTGGCTCAGTGAGTAAGGCACCGGCCCCATATACCAAAGGTGGCATGTTCAAACCTGGTCCCAGCCAAACTGCAACAAAAAAATAGCCAGGCATTGTGGCAGGCGCCTGTAGTTCAGCCAGTCAGGAGGCTGAGGCAAGAGAATCGCCTAAGCCCAAGAGCTAGAGGTTGCTGTGAGCTGTGACGTCACAGCACTCTTGGGGGGGGGGGGACAAAGTGAGACTCTGTCTCCAAAAAAAAAAAACTTCTCACCCCTTGTAGTATATGGAAGAGTCTTACTATGAAATTTTCAAAGTATTCTTTTGACAACAGTTTCATACATATATTTGGACAAACTGAAATCCTTTGCCCAACAGATAACTTTTTAAGAAAAACATGGCATTTTAAAAATACTCTTAAATTATGACATTCTTATTGTTAGTACCAAAGCTTTTAGTTTATCAAAAACATGTTTTTAAGGAAGTATGGTCCTAAAGATACTTGTACTAAATTAAATATTTATTGACAAATATACACCACACAACTAAATCACAGGCCTTGTTCTTTGGCCAACAGTAGGAATATTACCATCATAACACATTAACTGCCACATAAGTTGTACTTAACTCATGCCAGTTTTGAGCCCAGGGCCTTGTGAAGCACATATGATTCAGACATTTCTTTACTTTGAGTACCTTGGGAGCTGTACGGGCCCCGAGGGGAAAAAATTGTTCTAGTACGGCAGTGAATGAGTTAATCACTATTTGGTCAAAAAAGAATTCCTTTAGTCTGAGCTCAATTTTGTTTTTTATTCATGATGACTACCCTATGAGATAATCGGTTCAAAGGAATCAAACACAGCACCCAAAGGCTATGGAGAAACTAGCATAGCTGGGAGGACTGCACAGCCCTCCCAATAGACTGTGGACATGGAGCAGCAGCAGCAGCAGCAGCAGCAGCAGCAGCAGCACTGACGCTGGGGAAGGAGCAGTGAGTGACGCCCCCCGACAGTGAAGAGCCCACAGTGCACTGGGGCCAGGGGTTAGTAGGTGTGAGAGGGGAAGCGTTAGTTAAGAAGCGGTGTTGCCACGTCAAGGCCCTTCCCCGCGAACACCGTAAAATGCGAAATGATCGAATGGTGATGAGAACTACAGTGATGTACAACTTTTTAAATGAAAAAAATTAATCTTTAAAATCCAATGTGCAACTCTATGCAGTTACTGGATGCGGTCTGTGAGGCCATGCTGGAGGGAACAAGGTGCGCTGAGATGTCAGCTATCCGGAATCTACAGCATCATTTAGACAAAGAGTACTGAGTTTGTGTGTGGAAGACACATGAGCTCTGTGTCTTACCAAGGCCTAGCTTCCTACCAGTGAGAAATCTTGGGCAAGGAACAATGTAGCTGTGAGTTCTAGGTTTTTAATTTATAAAAAGCATTTTTATTGTTAGCGCCTAGAAAAGTACCAGACAGGGGAGACACTAAGACACAGGGTGCCGGGGCTCAGGCCTGTGATTCCAGCACTGGG